CTCGGTTCTGCGAAGGCCGGACAGGTAGAGGAACAGCCTAGATGAGGCTCCCCGGCTCACGCGTTGCAAGGTTGTAATGCACGCACCTTAACCCGGTAGGAAGGCCTGTGCTTGGAGCTTGGCCGAGAAGGTCTTTGGCTGACCGGCGTTACCAATCTCCAGCTCAGCTTCGCCGGAATACAGTTGAGCACGGCTGGAATTAAGCCCGGTAGTAGGAGACTACGACATCAACTGCACTTGGACATGTTCAGTATGGCCGTTGATAGCCGAGATAATGTTGCCCGGCTGCCGTGCTCCCAGCAGAGTGGGCTGGCATTTGGGTTAGGTGATGTATAGCAAGATTTGTGCTGACAGATGGGATAACAGAGCCACGTGTCGAGAGACCAATGAGAGTAGATTTGGGGCGCAGAAGGGTATATAAGCATATCTGCGCGCCCCATACGCTGGACAGGAACACTTTGTAAGGAAATTCTTACACGCTTCTCTCTCTCTCTCTATCCTAAGGTGTGCGCTAACTTGATCGTCGGAGGGTTTTTCCAGCCACACACCGCCGGGTAGCTCACCGTTATTTGCTCACAGGTGATTGGACAGAAACGGAGCTCGGAAGAAAGGAGTACGGGCTTGCCGAAATATTTGCTCCCCGTACAATACTACTTACACCACTGCCAAGAAAATTTGGAAAGCCTTGCAGAACAAATATGACACTGAAGAGGCAGGCGCTAACAAATATGTTGCAAGCCGTTTTTTCCGCTATCAGATGATAGCTGGAAAATCAGTGATGGAGCAAGTTCAAGATTTTTAGATGCTAGTGGCTGAAGTTAGATCCGAAGGCATGAAAATTGGAGACAATCTTGTTGTAGCACGTATTGTTGACAAACTTCCATCATCTTGGAGGGAGTTCCAGAAGTCGATGCGTCACAAGCAAAAAGAGACGTCCTTGGAGACTCTAATCACATGGATTCGGGTGGATGAGGAAGCACGAGGACAAGATGCGCTTATGACACAAGAGCATTCCACTGCAAAGGTAAATTTAACTTCTGAAAATACTTTACCTAAAGGTCGATTTCATAAAAGTAGTCACTTGAAGCCAGTTAAGAAAATTTGGAAAAATACTGGACGGCCACAAAATAAAAATTATCCGAGGCAAAAGAAATGGAACCAAGAACCCCCTTCACAAGATCTGACAAATGTGACATGTTTTGTGTGTGGCAAAAGTGGGCATATTGCTCGAACTTGCAAATTTCGAAAACAACAGTTTCGACCACAGGCTAATGTTACCGAGGAACCATTTGTGGCTATGATCACAGATATTTTTATGGTTCAATCTGTAGAAGGGTGGTGGGCAGACTCTGGTGCCAATAGGCATGTCTGCTATGATAAAGATTGGTTCAAAGATTTCACTCTTTTTAATGAGGAGAGGACTGTTATGCTTGGTGACACTAGTTTAACCAAGGTGCTCGGGTGTGGGGATGTTGAGCTGAATTTTACCTCTGGACGTGTGTTTGTTTTAAAGGATGTGTTGTACACACCGTCCATGAGAAATTTTTTATGTCAAGTTATTTGCTCAACAAAGCTGGTTTCAAACAGGCTATTGAATCTGACCAATATGTAATCACTAAAAAAGGCATATTTGTGGGGAAAGGGTATGCCTGTGATGGAATGTTTAAATTAAATGTTGAGAATAAGAAAGCACATGTTTCTGTTTACATGTTGTCTTCTATGAATTTTTGGCATGCTTGTCTGTGTCATATTAATAGCCGATATGTGGGAGTCATGAGTAGTTTAGGATTAATTCTCAGACTAACAAATAAGTTTGAGAAATGTGAAGTTTGCAGTTAAGCAAAAATAACTAAAAGGCCTCATAAAAGTGTGGTGAGAAATACTGAATTGTTAGAATTAATTCACACTGATTTATGTGAATTTGAAGGAATTTTAACACGTGGTGGAAATAGATATTTAATTACTTTTATTGATGATTTTTCAAAATACACTTATGTATACTTGTTGAAAAATAAAAGCGATGCTTTTGAAAAATTTAAAGAATTCCTTCTTGAAGCTGAAAATCAATTCGGTAAAAAGATTAAAAGGTATAGGAGTGATAGAGGCCGGGAGTATGAATCTTTTGGATTCAACTTGTTTGCTCAGTCTTTGGGAATAATCTATGAAACTACTCCACCATATTCACCTGCATCCAATGGTATAGCAGAAAGGAAAAATAGAACTTTAACTGATTTAACAAATGCTATGCTAATTGAAGCAGGTGCTCCTTCAAATTTGTGGACAAAAGCAATTTTAACTGCATGTTATGTTATGAATAGAGTGCCACATAAAAAAACAAAAGTTACACCTTTTGAGTTGTGGAAAGGGCATAAGCCAAATTTGAGATATTTGAGGGTTTGGGGTTGTCTAGCTTTTGTTAGACTTGTGGACCCTAAAAGACCTAAATTAGGTGTGAAAGCTGCCACTTGTGCTTTTCTTGGATATGCAACAAATAGTACAGCCTATAGATTTTTTGATATTGAAAACAAAATAATTTTTGAATCAGGTGATGCAATTTTTCATGAAGAAAAATTTCCTTTTAAATCTAAAAATGGTGGGGGTCAAAATTATCAAGAAACTTACCTTGGAAGTCTTGGAGAGGATAAGAATTGGTGGACTTGATGAAGACTCGAAGAGACTTGGAGAGAAAGAAAAGAAAAACCAACCTATAAAGTTTATTATAGAATTACTTTTTCTACAAGTATTAGGTTTAGTTTATTATGAATAGCTATGTAAGTCTCATAGCAAAAACAACTTTTATTCAATTCAATCAATAATATTAAGATATTTTCTCTTCTTTGTGGATTTAAGGTTTTATTTTTCTCGTGGATTCAAGAGCCCTTTTCGTTTACTAGAACGATATCTAGTCCCCGTGTATTCCGTTGCATCAAATGGTATCAGAGCATGGATTCTCCTAGCTCAATGACACAAGACAATGGACCACACACAATTCTTATTGACGTTGATCGTAGGGTGGAAGCCATATGGGATGCGATTGAGAAACATCGGCTAGAGGTATATTAACTTCACAATGAGATTTGTAATCTACTTGCCGATTTGGTACTAATCGTCAACCAGAGGCAATCAATAGTTGACAGCAATTGCGTCGGAGGATTCACCCGTGGCCAACCTTCTCCTAGCTCAATGTTAGCTTACATTATTTTGCACAAATTTCATATTTTAACTGTTCAAGTAAGTTTCAAAAAGAAAATTTTCTTGATTGCTTGCTTGATCTTGAAAATTTCTTTGAATTCATGAAAATTCCTCACGAAAAGAAGGTTATATTTGCATCTTACGGACTTGATAAAATTGCATTGAAGAAGAAAAGGTTTTGAATATCTCAATATTTCAAAATTTTGAAGACCCAAACAGACATTCAATTGAAATAGAAAATCAAGTTGATTTCAACAATGGTGAGAATGTTGAAATTGATGAAAGAGAGGCCACTGAAATTATTTTGATCAAGAAGTTTGAAGACGACGATGAAGAGGTGAAGCAAGAGAAAAATGTTGAAGTTAGCCAAGAGCTTTTAATGACGGAACTATCATCTCTTGATTATTATGATAGCTATGAGATCGCAAAAGAAGGAGATCTAGTTAAACTCAATGAAAAAGAAGAAATAAAAGATGAGGTAATAAAGTTGACATGTGCACCAGAGAAGTTGATTGGGGATACATTTGATATTCCAAGGTTGATAATTGAAGGATCAATTGAATCTAAGATGGTGCAACATCAAGAGAGCATGCAAGTTCTACATCAATTAAATTTGGTTGATCTTCTTGGTGTAGAGCAATTTAATTTGATTTTCAATGCTGGTCTAATTAATCTTGTCAACCGGTTGAAGCATATAGAGAAGAATTTTCAGAAAGAAAACTTGTTTATATACAACTTTTGGAAGAGGGGCAAGCAACTAAAATATTCAAAATATCTCTTTATTTGGCATGGAAGATGGCAAATCTCTAATATGAACTTGAGGACGAGTTCTTTCAAAGAAGAGGAGCCTGATGTAGAACAAGATTTTAAGAATTTTTATATTTTTAGTTTTAATATTTTTGATATATTATTTTTATTAGGATTCTTGTAATTTAGTATAAATATTTTAGAATTATTAAGGGCTTTTTTGGTTTGTTTTTGGGAGAGTTGTTTTTGAAAAAAAATTTGAGGAGAGAGTTTAGAAATTTTTTTGGTTTGTTTGGTTGTATATTTTGGGAGAGTTGTTTTTTTCGGAGTTTGGGACGATTTGATATTTTGGGAGAATTTGAGTAGATGTGTGTGAGAGAAAAAGTGATTGAGAATGAAAGATGAGAGAGAAAAAGTGATTGATTGATGTGTAAGAGAGAGAAAGTGATTTTGGAAATTTTTTGAGAAAAACTCAAACCAAACAATTTTTTAGAATTTTTTTTTCTAAAACTCATCTCCCAAATGCAAACCAAACATACCCTAAGTTTCTTAAATTTTGTTATTTTGGAATTAGATTTTGGTTAGGATTTTAGATAGTTTAGAATTTTAGTTTCTTTATTCTCTTAAGTTTCCTAATTTGTATTGATTTAAGTTTTCTAGTTTATTTTAGAATTACTTTTCCTACAAGTATTAGGTTTAGTTTATTGTAAATAACTATGTAAGCCTCATGGCAAAGACAATTTTTATTCAATTCAATCAATAATATTAAGATATTTTCTCTTCCTTGTGGATTTAAGGTTCTATTTTTCTCATGGATTTGAGAGCCCCTTTCGTCTACTAGAACGATATATCTAGTCCCCGTGTATTCTGTTGTGTCAAAATATATTAATTCATGTATACGATTCTATAATTTCGTAATATGATATGATGCTGCTAAATAAACACCGTTATTCTCTTTTGGAAAATTAACTAAATTTCTCTTTTTCATTTTATTGTTTGTTTGTTTTTATTTTTTGTTGATCTTCTTGACTAAATGTGTTGATGTAACATGCTTCTTGCAGGGAGTGTTTCGCGTCACAAGTTGGAGCACTCGGTGAGAACTTCTATCCCATTTCCATCTATGTAGTTATTCACATCTAAGAAGGCACGGGGACATGGATACGGACTCGGTGATTTAAAAAAGAAAAGGAAAGAGGGGGATACGGCAATAAAAAATATTTTTATTTGCTATATAGATTAATATTATATTCACAAATAACAAAAATAACAAAAGCAAATATTAATTTAATATTAAAAAAAAAAAACCTTAGCTCTTATCATTTATGTATTTTTTGTGGATGATCTATTAATTATTTAAATCTAAGAAAAAAGTGACAAATATTCAATTCATCAAAAGCACTAAGAGAAAGAGGAGGAGGAGGAGGAGGAGGAGGAGGAGGAGGAGGGGGGGGAGGGAATTAGTTGGTATGTCCCCTGTCTCCGAAATGTGCTCGACACAATTACGACACCTTGGAGTGTCAGTGCTTGATAGATTGGCATTATTGTTGAATTAGGCATGTGCATATGTGTGTTTATATATATGTTCTTTAGTTCTTTTTTTTGGGTTGGTAATGTTCTTTAGTTCAAATGGTTGGGAATTGTGCACTTCAATTTAATTCAGTTGGAAATATAAAGGTTTTACCATTTTTCTTACTTCTATGAACTATGCACCAATGCAATAAGAATGATCTGAGTTCATATGATGTGTAGGTGTTTTTTTATCAAAATACCTGGGGAAAGTTTTCACAAATCGAGGATCATCAACATAAGATTTTTCTTTGTTTATATGTAGACAATGTGTACACTTCACATCATTTACCTTCCCATTTAATTAAGCTATTACATGTAAATAGCAAAATACCCCCCTATTTGAATTCAATGAAAATATTAAAAAATTATATTTTATATAGCAAGTTAACTCTATTTATCAAAAACAAAATCCGAAATTCTTAGAATTGGCTAAAAATAGTGATCTCCCCAAAATATGGTATTTTTCATAATTAATGTTTTAGGTTCCATTTTTAGCTCCTAACTACAAACATGGAAAAAAAATTGGTATGAGACCTTCAACTTTAGGTGTTTTGTAAAAAAACTGATGTATTATTGATTGTTGTATGTTATATATTACAAATGGTGAGGGGTTCCTTATATAGGAGATGTAGTGGAGTAGGTGGTAGTGGTAGTGGTAGGTGTGTAGTAGGTGGTAGTAGGTGGTGGTAGGTGTAGTAGGTGGAGTAGGTGATGGTAGATTTTAACAGCCCCCCGCAAACTCAAGGGGGATAGGAACTAACCAACTTGAGTTTGGAGAGAGTAACAAAACAAGAAAATAATCTGAAAAAAATAAAAAATGGATAGGAGACACTGTATGGTCGTGTTAGACCGTTGTAGAAGACTGTATGGTTATGGCAGACCGATGTAGAAGACACTGGCTCGTGTCGGACCGATGTAGAAGACAGTTTATGTTGTGACAGTTTACGGAGTCTTGCTGGACCCTTGTAGAAACTAACCGGAATCAATGTCGGGACAGTTTACAGAGTCTTGTCGGACCCTTGAAGGAATGTCGGGACAGTTTACAGAGTCTTGTCGGACCCTTGAAGGAATGTCGGGACAGTTTACAGAGTCTTGTCGGACCCTTGAAGGAATGTCGGGACAGTTTACAGAGTCTTGTCGGACCCTTGAAGGAATGTCGGGACAGTTTACAGAGTCTTGTCGGACCCTTGAAGGAATGTCGGGACAGTTTACAGAGTCTTGTCGGACCCTTGAAGGAATGTCGGGACAGTTTACAGAGTCTTGTCGGACCCTTGAAGGAATGTCGGGACAGTTTACAGAGTCTTGTCGGACCCTTGAAGGAATGTCGGGACAGTTTACAGAGTCTTGTCGGACCCTTGAAGGAATGTCGGGACAGTTTACAGAGTCTTGTCGGACCCTTGAAGGAATGTCGGGACAGTTTACAGAGTCTTGTCGGACCCTTGAAGGAATGTCGGGACAGTTTACAGAGTCTTGTCGGACCCTTGAAGGAATGTCGGGACAGTTTACAGAGTCTTGTCGGACCCTTGAAGGAATGTCGGGACAGTTTACAGAGTCTTGTCGGACCCTTGAAGGAATGTCGGGACAGTTTACAGAGTCTTGTCGGACCCTTGAAGGAATGTCGGGACAGTTTACAGAGTCTTGTCGGACCCTTGAAGGAATGTCGGGACAGTTTACAGAGTCTTGTCGGACCCTTGAAGGAATGTCGGGACAGTTTACAGAGTCTTGTCGGACCCTTGAAGGAATGTCGGGACAGTTTACAGAGTCTTGTCGGACCCTTGAAGGAATGTCGGGACAGTTTACAGAGTCTTGTCGGACCCTTGAAGGAATGTCGGGACAGTTTACAGAGTCTTGTCGGACCCTTGAAGGAATGTCGGGACAGTTTACAGAGTCTTGTCGGACCCTTGAAGGAATGTCGGGACAGTTTACAGAGTCTTGTCGGACCCATGAAGGAGCTAACCGGAATCAATGTCGGGATAGTTTACAGAGTCTTGTCGGACCCTTAAAAAGTCGCACCCTCAAAAGGTGTGCCCAATTTTTCAAAAGGCGTGCCCAATCCATCAAAAGGCGTGCCATCAAAAGGCGTGCCGGACATGATGGCGAGGCGCGTGATTACCTTGGCTTGCGCGCCCGTTTTGTCGTTTGGCGTCAAGTGGCGCGCGATGCGCGGATCGACAAAGAAAAGAAAATATATATATATATATATATTTATATATATAAGATAAAGAGGGTTTGGGCGGTGGAAAATGTGATGATGGTTTTGAGTGGAGAATATTTTAGAATAGAAAAGGTTATATAATATATTTCTCTCTCCAATGTCCCCAAAAGCTGTCCGAGCATTTTTTTATTTCTATTAACCAAGCTTGGGTCCTCATCCTTTGGCAATACCCTTGGAACATGCTCTGTCGGACAGTAAGGGTTGAAACACGACGAGGCAGAGAAACGCGCCGAGGCAGCCGCTCGCAAAGTAGAGGCGCACCGGATCGCCGAACAGGAGGAGAAGGAGCTCGAGAAAGCTAGCCGCAAGCCTGATAAGAAAGCGAACCGAGTGTCGATTCCGGTGCCTAAAGTCACCGAGTCGGAGCTCCAGCGGCAGAGGGAGGCGAAGCGGCGGCGGAGCCGGACTCAGGGAGAAGAGGAGTACGAGAAAATAGTACTCGTTGCGAATACGAATCGCGATGATTCGATAATTGAGGCAAGGTCGGTTGAGGGTGCGATTGCGCAGATGGCGGTTGCGGATAGTTTGCCGGTCGATAGGCATCCCATTTCTCTCTCACCAGCCACCCACTGTGGTTCCTGGTGGTGATCTTGCTAAGGTTCAGAGAGCAGTTTGCATGATCTCCAACTCCACAAGTGTTGCTGAGGTGTTCTCGAGGAGTGATCATAAGTTTGATCTGATGTATGCGAAGAGGGCTTTTGTGCACTGGTATGTGGGTGAAAAGTATGGAGGAAGGAGAGAGAGAATTAGAAAATTTGGGTTTGTCCGGCGGACGGCCAAGGCGAGGCTGCCGCCCGCCGGTGAAGCGGAATCACTAAGGTCTTAACCTTGCTCTGATACCATGTAAAAAAACTGATGTATTATTGATTGTTGTATGTTATATATTACAAATGGTGAGGGGTTCCTTATATAGGAGATGTAGTGGAGTAGGTGGTAGTGGTAGTGGTAGGTGGTAGTAGGTGGTGGTAGGTGTAGTAGGTGGAGTAGGTGATGGTAGATTTTAACATGTTTTAACTCTAAGGGATTCCTAGCTCTCAAAAACCAAGTGTCATAAGTTGGCTTTTTGACTCTCACTTGACTTGGACATAACATGCAAAAAACTTGATGGCAAAATGCATCTTCAGTTTGAACTAATGCAATATACTCGTGCAATTTTGCCTGAGATTGGATCAAAGCACACGCTTCATTGTCTCATAACATTTTCAATCACTTGGACACTTCGAATACACCTAACCTAGACACCTAGTCTATGTTTTGTTTACAGAAATTTCCAACACGCAAAACTCTAAGTCTTGTAACTGATAAAACGTCCAAACTAGAGAAATTGATATGTGATGCACCTATTATTTTTGTTCTTCTAAGTTTTAGTAAGTGGTGAACCTTCAATGTTGATTTGGCATTAACTACTGGTGGATTAAATGAACTTTTATGAGTTTACAACTTAGGTTGTTCGTAATGAATTGGAAATAGAGGACTTAATGTAGTAGCTCTGCTTCCTGCTTGGTATTGGAAAATAGTTATGGCTACATATGTCAATTACAATTTTTTTCCGTCTAGTCCTTAAAAGTTCTTCTTATGACTGAATGAAATGCTCATATTGTTTTTTGGAATCCCAATGAAGGGTGATCCCAGCACTTTTGGTCTTTAATTTTAGCTACAAAAATGTTTATTGCCAATCTTGGTATGCGTTCAACAGAATACCTTAAATGAAAATTTTTGTTCATAGTTTCTGGCATTATCCATTCTCCATCTATGGGATGTCATATCTTAGTCCTAGTTGTAGATCTTCTCAAATCCAGACATCTCTCGGATCTAATTATATAGCCTATTGCTGCTTTACTCAACAGAACTAAGCCACCGAGTTAGCCAACAGAATGGTACTGTTGGGGTGCCAACCAATATGTGCCATTTGATATATATGATCGATTTGTTGGTTCCCATGTCATGAATCAAGAGTGCCACTTTTGGAGGGTGTGAGAGGTCTACTCTCTTGTTTGTCAGTTGCAACAACTCTATTGGTTATACAAAATTTCTCCCTACTAATGGTTATCATTAGTATAATTCACAACAATGATGCTTATCATACTAATGGAAGTCCTTCTTGTTGCAGTTAAAGAAGATGTGCAAGGAAGGTGCCTACTGGGGTAAGTATCAATCATATTTGAAACTTGAATATGAGAGATTGGGAAGGTCTTCTGAGATTGCTGGTATGATATATCTGAAACACAAGGACTTCCTTTAAGAAATTTGTTTATTTTACTGCCAGGAACTATAGCTGGAGTATATGTGGGAATGGAGTATGGGATGGAGAGAGTACGTGGCACCCGGGACTGGGTAAATTCTGCATTTCATTGTTGACTAATTTCCGTACCATAGTTGAGCCTTCTTTCAAAGCTAAAGCAATTTTCCATGAGGCTCCATAGTTGTTACTGCTGTTTCTCAGTCTGCTATTTCTTTTTATCTCCATGTTTTTTCCCCATAATTATACTTACCATTAGACTGCATACTGAGAATCCATGTAGTTCTCCAACAGAAGCTTATGGGAGCACTTTTAAAGAAATCACTTTTTGCATTGGCCCATTTAACACACCAGCAATGCTACAGACCCCCAGTGGGGGTGACCCCCCAGTGCTACGTGTCGGCCTGGGGTTGGCTGAAAACTCAAAAAAAAAAAAAAAAAAAAAAACTGTTTTTTTTGAACCAATGGGAGGTGACCCCCAGTACCCCCACTGGGGGTCCAAAGCTTTATTCTTTAACACACCATCTTGCTATCTAGACTGTTAGTGAAGTCTTTTGTTTTTGTTGTTGTTGTCCCTTTTTTTTTTTTTTTTGTTTGTACTAGAGACCTGTATTTGCTCCCCATTGTCACAAGGTTTGGGTATGTTGGTGAGTACGCTACCGGAAATGTGTTGCCCGTTGAGTGGATTACTGTCGACTTCTGACCAAAAAGAAAGAGAAAAAAATTTAATGGGACTCCCTACTTCCCATGAAATTTCTTTCCTTGATGATGGCTAGATAAAAATACGCATCATTTATCTGAAATTATGTATACATTTTTATTTTATTTTTTCATTTTATCTACCGGTGTGACAGTCCTTATCCACTATCATATGCATGCACTTGCATAATGTCGAATGCAGCCTATCCTTGAAAGGAAAAATGCCCAAGGTTGAATCTTTTTTAGACCCATCTTTCAAAAGGATTCCAAAGTTCTAACAAAGTTTTTTTGCACATATTCCCAATATTGCTCTGTTTCATCAGATGGTTTGACTGTATAATGCTATTAATTAATGAGAACAAAAAATAATGTCAAGGCTCAACCATTCTTTATTGGAATCAAAACTTCCTGATGTGAAAATGGCCCTTTTGAGTTCATGTTGTTTGTTTTTGTTTTTAACCTTTTTATTTTTTTTTCAATTCATATCATTTTTACTGTCTGTGATGTCTCTACTTATTTCATTTCTTTCTTTTGAAAGTAACAATGCCCTTGTTGCAGAAAAATGCAATGCTCGGGGGTGCATTAGCTGGGGGTTTGGTGTCCGCAGCCAGTAACAGCAATCGAGACAAGATTGTAATGGATGCCATTGCTGGAGGTGCCATTGCGACTGCAGCCGAGTTCTTCAACCAGCTCACCTGAACCTCGAACTGGTTTTTCTCCCTACCTCAGCTAATTCTGAGGAAATACTTTGAGATGTTTATTTTGTCACTGTCCTTTGAAACTTCTCAGTTTGTAAGTGATAACAACATCCCCATTATGTTGATAGAGTAACTTCAAACCATGACTGCCTTCCCACTCCTAATTATTTGGTGTAATGTCTGTTTTTCTCCTAATTAGTGTTTAGTTGCTTGCCAACAAGAATCAATAATGACTTTTCTCTATGAGAAATGTTTGGGACCCCCTTTTTTGGGGGTTCCATAACTCCTAATTTGATCTTGGCCCTTGATATGTGTGTGGAGTTCACTCATGTATGTGTAGGCCCCACACTATGAGTGATTGGGATGAGAATGGGGATTGTAGGGGTCATGTATGTGTGGGGTCTCTATCACAATTGATATATTTTTATAATGGTATAGATGATAGATGATTGTGATGATGGAAAGAAATAATTTGGGAAGGGACTTCATCCAAGAATTACTTATTGAGATGCTACTAGGTTGCACTCCGAAACAACGAATTTTTTTGAACATAAATCATAAAATGATAATTTTTTCCATCACAAAAAGTAGTGTAAATTACACTTTACTCCTTTTTTGGTTTGGTTATTTTTTGACTTTTGACTTTTGAGGTTTTTTTTCTCCCCGACCTTTTATATTTTAAGTTTTTCTCAATTTATTCTTAAAGTTAACTTATGGCCAAAATTTGATAGGAAATGACACATTGATAGCCACTTGCTTAAAAATATTTTATTATATATAACTCATACTTATGAAACAAATTCAAGTCTCAATATAATATATATCTATATTCTCAAAAGAAAAGAAAAAAAAAATTATGTCATATGGTAGTTGACGTGACATTTTTTATCTAATTTTGAATAGAAGTTAATTTTACAAGTAAATTAAAAAAAACTTAAAATATGAAGGGCCAAAGTAAGAAGAAAAAATTATTCCAAGGGTCAAAGTGGAAAAATAATCAAATATAAAGGGAGACAAAGTGTAATTTGCCCCAAAAAGTACAATTTTCTAGTCACCACAAAATTATAATTTTTATTTTAAGATGTACACCATAAATTCTTCATTCATAATTTTTTTTTATCATAAATTAACAGTACATACACTATAAATTTTCGTAATTTTCATCACAAATTATAATCATAGATTCCCAATCTTGTTGGCTTGAACAACTCGTTCAGGGTTTCTTATTGAACTAAATTGCAAGTTGTTGAATGAAAAGTGTGCTGGGGGCTTTCTATGAAGTGCATTTATCATTTACTTTTGTTCAAATTTACACGACTAATGTATTGTTTATTTTAAAGTGTTCAAATTAAATAGTTTTTGAAGTGCTGCAAAAAGTGTGTAATTGAGCTTAAAACCTGTTATCATGGAGGGTTCTGTTTCACAATGAAGAAAGGACTTTTCAAAAAAAAAAGTTTAAGAATACGGAAACCGATCATAAAATCAGATACAAACTTTTCATATGAGGCTGATTTGATCTTTTGGGAATCTCATTCTCATGTGAGAGGTTACGTTCGGTTTTGTGATTGGTCTCTACAAATAGAAAAACTGCTTTAAAAAATAAGGACAAATTACCAATACTCCTCTCGAGGTTTGACTAAAATACCAATTTCCCCCTAAGGTTTGAAAAATTACAAATTGTCCCCTAAAATTTATATTTGTATAACAAATGAGAGGGCAGCTTGTTATGCAAATATAAACTTTAGGGAGCAATTTGTTATGCAAATATAAAACTCAGGAGGCGGGATGTAATTTCTCAAACCTCGGAAGGAATCTGTATTTTAGTCAAACCTCGAGGGGGTGTTGGTAATTTACCCAAAAAATAAAGAATATTGATGATACACAGAGCTATAGGAGGAATTCATACCTGAGCCTTCAAAAGAACAAATGAAATAAACAATTTTTTTTTTTTTTTTACTGAATTATTAAGCCAAATTTTCTAATATTGGCCAAATGATCTGAATTCGTCGTTGAACTTTTCTCCATCCAAACATTGCCCAAAAGATTTCAAGGATAAATTCAAATTTCACCAAACATAAAGGAATATTGAGCGAACAATCTCATTCTTTTTACTAGCTGCATACATACAATCTCAAACTGTCTCCAGAAATCAGAAAATCACATTATGTAGCAGTCACGGCCATAAATTTTGAGCCTGTCAAACAGGTCACAGAAAGGCAAACAGAATTGAACATGTGTATTCCGTTTCCATCTGTACTTGGCAAAAAATTGCTACACAAAAAAATAAAATAAAATTGTAACACTAGGTAATATACACAGATGTGAATGATATGCTTTAAGTTCCAAGAGAATGCAAAAAATTTATAACTTCAAAAAGATTTTAGGGGTGGATGGCAACTCAATCCGAGCTTTCTTGGCATGCTCAAGCTTTCTTGTCATATCCTCCTACAGAATGATCGTGGTTTCCTCCATCTCTTCCATGTTTATTTTCCAACATACAAAATAACTACAATACACTGAAAAAAATTCAACTTAACCAATCAAAACAGCACACAATTAGGTTTGAAACTGCTCAACAAGTTTCAAGAGGCTATAGGTCTCGGAATCTGGCCTAGCCCCTCCCAGAATCATCCTTTTTAAAAGATTTGGATCATAAATCTTGGCCTTGACATAAGCCTTAATCAAGGTATTGTACACAAAAGTATACCTAGTATAATTTGCTTTCTTCAATTCTTCAAAGAGCTTCTCAGCATTCTCTATGTCACCATTCTCAGCAAAAATTTCAACTATTGAAAGAGTAATCTCAAGCCATGGGGTTGATTTCCTGATCTTGGTACTTGCTGAAAAATCATTACCCAAATCTAGTGTTTTTAGAGTTTCTTTCATTAACCCCGCTTTCAAGCATCCAAGAGCAAGGTGTCGATATGTTATGGCATTTGGTTTGCATCCATTTTGCTCCATTTCTTTATACAGCTTAGTTGCTTTAGTAATAAACCCGAGCCTGCAATAAACAGATATCATTGAATTGAATTGCTCAGTTGATTTCAACCCTTTCTTTGATTTCATTTCCAACCAAAGCTGTTCAGCACGACTTAGGCCCCCAATCCTGCCAAATGCTTCAATAGCCACCAAGAAACTCTTAGACCTGACATGAGGAAGTTCTTGCAAAACACCCCAAATTCGATCTATCTCTTTCTCCTTCCCCAAATATCCATACAATATAAGGAGGACATCTAATGTTGACCAGTTATTTCCCGTTGCTGACTTCTCGACTGCTTCAACATAGGCCTCGCAAACAGTGTACAGTCTTGCAACGGCATGTGCAGTTGCTAATATGCAGAAGGATATCTCATTTGGCTCAACTTGTGCTCTCTTCATGTCAACAAATACCTTAACCAATCCTTCAATATTGTGTTGATTAGCTTCAATTTTCATCAGAATGTTGTAAGTGGAAACATGCGGATCCACCTTATCAGCCCTCATTTGTCTAAGGATTCTTGTGATGGCCTTCCTCCGGCTCGGCGAAGAATGGAGGATAATGAGGCGGTTGAAAATCAAGTGAGAGATCGGATGACCCAGTTCCCTCATTTTCTTCATGTATGCAAGTGAAAGCCTTATCATGCCTTTGTCCAAGCATGCAATAACAAGATTGTTGTACAGCAACTCCTTTTGGAATTCAGGTGGGATACAAGAAAAAAGTTTCTCCCCTTGTGATACCCCATGAAGCTTACTTGTGAATTCTAATAGATAGGAGTAGTCTAGTTCTTTTGGCCTGTAGGGCCTCTCCCTGATCACCCATTCCATCACCTGTTAAAAGTTACAGGTAGATACTTAAGGTCAGCCTTAATAAAACCCAAATTCTTCTTTCGTCATCATGCTGATGAAGACATTATGAAGGGATATTAAACACCATTTAAAATGCAGAACAAGAAATCAGTACTAAAATGTTGAACTAAATCCAATACAAAGTAATAAGACGGGAATTCTAAAAAACTACAGTGATGATGGTTTGTCACTTCATTAAAATAAAAGTAGCATAACGACCACATGTTTGAAAATGAAGGTGAAGATCATTCTCTGGTTTGAAAACAATGATGAATATGATGAGTCTAAGTTGTACAGAAACTTGGGCAGTCCACAAGATAACCCCAGAAGGCAAACAAGATGTTCAAGTTTTCCCTTAATAAACTATTGGAGAAGACACACAAAATCGATTACGGTGGCAATGCAGTTTGTTGATACATTTCACAACAACATAATGGGTAAAGATTAACACAATCGAGTAATTGAAATCAAGTGTTGACTAAATAAAGTTGAACATACCCTGCATTTGACCTCAGTATGCAACTGTCACAATTCTTTGAAGCATATATACAAACAGATAATGAGCTTATATGCTTTGCACACTTATTAAGCTAAAGAACCAACACCATTGCCTTAACAGCTAAACTTAACACTGCCCACAGTAGATGTAAGGTTCATATATGCAGGTTGAACATTGCCTGCATTTCACCTTATTATGCAACTGGAACAATTCATCGAAGCATATAAACAAACAGATAGTGAGCATAGATTCTTTGCACTCTTTTAACATAAAAAGAGCCAACACCATTGCATTGCCTAACAAGCTAAAATAAACACTGCCCAACATAGATATATGCGCCATATATAAAGGAAGAGAAAGGGAGACCTCGAGAGCGCGTTTGTTGAAATGGAGCTTCCTTAGGCGGTTGATGGTGTGAAAGACATGGCCTCTGTGAATGGGAAATCCGTCACCCATCCAGCTCTGGAAGGCAGACCCAACAGGCTCTGTTCTTGGGAGCTTCTCAATCCTCCAACACAAGCTCTTTGGTTCTTCTTCTTCTTCTCTTCCTCCTTCGTGGGTCGAAACTGAAGTCTCATTCTCAGATGAATAATGATTATGAGGGGGGAGGGGGGAGAAGCTGAAACTTGAAGAATGGAATTGGGTAGCGGCAGAGAGAGAGATTGAAATGGTTCCATGTATTACGACTCTAAAGACCCTCCTCCTCTCAATCTCAAACAAAAGGGCCACTGCTTTCATGTTGATTTACGTTTTGAATGAATATGAATTCCACAATGTTTTTCTTCACGATAATACCATAAATTCATACTTATAAATTCAGAATTTATTTTAAAAAATAAATTAGTGGTTCAAATTTATTTTATTTGTGGGTCCCATATTTGGTCAATTTAATTTCTGTTACACAAACACATTTGAAATAAATTATAATTTTATAAGGATAAATTCGTAGCATTTTTTGTTTTCTTTAGTCTGAGTTCAGCTTTGGTATATATTATTATTTAGGGCAAATTACAAACACCCCCTCGAGATTTGGTGAAAATACAGATTCCCCCTGAGGTTTGAGAAATTACATCCCGCTCCCTGAGGTTTATATTTCCATAACAAATTACCCCCTGAGGTTTTTATTTTCATACAGATTCCCCCCTAATTTGTTATGCAAATTTGACCTCCAGGGGGTAATTTGTAATTTCTCAAACCTCAGGGAGGAATTTGTATTTTCACCATACCTCGAGGGGGTGTTTGTAATTTGCCCTATTATTTATATAATATTAGATTATATAAATTGAAAAATTATTGAGGAAATTATTCAAAAAGTAAAATTATGAACCATATTTATTATTGGTGTGGCCCATATCTTACTAAGGCTAAGTTTGGCATATACAAAATAATTCATCTTTTTATTTTTTTTTTCATCATATCACCTCTTTATTTTTCTGCACATCTTTTCATAAAAAAATAAAAAAATACACTTATTTAGGTCATTCCAAACAACCCATAATTGTTCTATCTTACTTTCACAGTAAACTTAGAAATAAAAAAATTGAGAAGTGTGTAAGAACAACTTTTTAAAAAAGGCTTGTTGGTTATTATATAAAATTATCATATTTTAGTCACTCTAATTGACTAACTATTATAATAATTGTTTTAACAAAAAAAAGTCAAAGCTAACTATATTTGGAGAGCATTGAAAGACTCTTCAAAGAGTTTGTATAGAGCTTGTTTAGGAAGTTGAGGTTTGAGATTTTTTGACTAAAATAGTCACAAAAAAAAAAAAAAGATTTTTAGTTTAATAAGATAAAATATTACATCCAATCCATAATTACTACATTCTTTCTCTCACAAAAAATCAAAAAGTCATTCTCAAACGAAACTTTTTAGTCTCAGGCTAAAATAACCAAAAAGTTAAAAAGTCAACATACTTTTCAAACGAATTCATTGATAGATAGGTAAAATAAAGAGTAACATTGAAATATATAGATAAAAAGGAATTAGGAAAAATAAAGAACATATATTTTCTTATATTTTAGCCATTACAAAATGAAGAGAGTAATTAGAGTTGCTCTAAACTAGCTTAAACATTCAGTCCTCAAAAAATAAAAACTTAAGAATAAAATTCATGATATATATAGTATTTTTGTTGAATAATGTAAACTTTGGTTGAGTTTATAGGTTGAAATACTTCCTAACTTAATTGAAGTTCAGATTTAAATTCTTATAACTAGTCTAAAGAAAAAATAGACAAATAATTTCTTTATAATTGTGCAAGGAACATATAAGATTTTTCATAGAATAAGATCATATGTAAGATAAATAATGAATGGCGCAGGCTTCAGTGCACATCGTTGGACTGTCCAATTTGCACTATGGGGCCTACCACGTACCCACTTTAGCCCAGTGATCTATATCTTAGAGAGTAGCCCAGTGGCCGTTTGTTTGGAAAGTTAAAAACGGGAGATTGGAATTAGTAGGGACTTAGAGACTCATTAATATTGTGTCTGTTTTGAGAGATAAAGGAAAGGATTGATAGTGAGTTTTGAATTATGAATCCCATTAGGGAGTGGATGTAGATGGACCTCCAAAACTTGGTATTAGAAAAATATTTCACTGAACTAGAATTTTTATTTTATTTTATATATTTTGGACATTTTTTTTAAACATTAATATTTAATTTTTTATATTTTTTATTGAGTAAATCATTATTTTATTTGTTTTATTTTTTTTGAAATTATTTTATTTTATTTTTGTAAAATTTTTTAGACATTTTTTTAAAACATCAATGTTTAACATTTTTATATTTTTTTATTATTTTATATAAAAATAATTAAACAATTTACTTCTAAAAATAAACGAACTTGTGTGATGAAAAGAAAAAAAATTAGGAATAGGAGTTGATAGAGCACAACATCACTTTAGTTATAATTAAATTTTACTAACAAATTAACTAACATCCTATCAAAATTAAATAATAATATATATATTTTTTAATTTTATACCATCAATAAGAGAGAAATAAAGAAAAAAAATTATTCCAGTCTAATAATAGAACTTCTACTTACCATTCTACTTTCCAATGATTTTCAGTCAACTATTCAAATTATTGAAGGATTTTATTTTATTTTATTATTTTTTTAAAGAAAAAACATAATTTCAATAGTTAACTAGTCAAATTATTGGAGGATTTTATCTTTTATTATTTTTAAAAAGAAAAATATTTAGTGACCCAAATTTTTATAATTCAAATGTATCAAAATGACGTCGACGTTATTTTAGATATTTTGAACTATGATTTTTCAGACGACCAATCAGTATTGTTTTAATAACTGTTGGGTGGTGGAGATGCAAATATTACACCACAATTGAAGGCGTCTAGATATTTCATATGCATCAATTTGTTTCCATACAATTCAACCCTCCTTTCACACATACATACATCATCAAACTCCAAATCCCACAAAGCAGACACAAATACAAACTTCACCTGTACAAACCAAGTCCATTATTTTATTGCATTTAACCCGCAAATCCTCATAATACATAAAATAAAAACCCAAACCCATACATTTTTTTTTTTTAATTTTATTTTAATATCAAACTAAACATATAAGGGTGCTTTGGTTGAGGCTTGGCATTAGAACCCAAGTCATCTTAACAGTTGCATGGGTCACACTCGCAGTTTGATCCACAGTCGCAAGCATGACCTCCTTCAGCTCCAGAGCTCTTCTCAGACCCCTCTGAGTCCCTGAAAGGTTGTACAATTTAAATTCATATTTTTTTTATTGGAAAACTAATCTATATGTTTTACTAAGCAGTGTTTTGAGAAGTTGATAAAAAGTTGATTTTTTTGACAAAAAAATTAGATTGTTTTGGGTAAAAAAGTTGACTTTTTTTATTAAAAAAAAAAAAAAAATTAAAAAACCAAAAAACTGACTTATTACCATTGTTCCCAAAACACCCCTAAAACAAACAGGTTCAATGATAATTATATATACACGTACACTTTCACTGGTGGTGCAACACCAGCTATGGTGGTGGTTGTAGTGGTGCTCTTCTCTATGTCAGGGTACATCCCACACCTGCCAATAAATTACCCAATCAAAGGGATAAGAAATAAATACATAAACAAGATACTTCTTAGATGTATTAATTTTAGAATAATTTTTTTTAAGATATGTTTAACCCTGTATTCAGATCCAAGTTGTAGTTCAAGTGATCATGAGACTTGGGTATCAATGATGAGATTTTAGTCCAAGTGATTATAAAGTGAGGTGAGATCTTAGCTTCCGAGTTAATAGAGCGGAATAAACTTGCTCAAATAATCTACTTTATAAATATCTTACGATATGACCACCCCAAAAAAATTTGCTTCTTACTTTCATTTTATTTTATTTTTTAAAATGTATAAAATTTATTTGGCAAACTTATTTAAAAACAACCTACCATTCAAGACAAATCAAAATTAATTTCAAATTTTCAAAAATTGTTTCATTAGAGTTTTTAAATGCATCCAATCCAAAAACCAGTTAATATTAGGCTATGTTTGGCATGTGGTTTGGAACTATTTTAGTCATAAAATGACAAAATAAATTAAAAAATTAATAAAACAAAATACTGCATCTAAATCATAATTATTTTATTTTTTTCTTACAAAAGTAAAAAAAAAAAAAATCAAAAAATCTATCCAAACAATACTTTTTAACACAGACTAGCGAAAAAAACCTAAAAACCAACCCCCATCCAAAACAAGGCTTAAATGAAAAAATCGTTATATGATATGAACAAATCTTAAATATGCCTTGACTCATCAAGAAGATCATTTCAACTCTTATTATAACATTTTTTTTTTCGGGTTTTGAAACATACAATCTAAAAATTAATTAAAAAAATTATGATTTAAATTGACAAAATTAAAACTCTAATTTTTTTTTGGTTGTAATTTTCTCAAGTTTTTTGAACTTTTCATTGTTTTCCGTTTTTGAAAATCCCAATATATATATATATATATAATAACAATAAAATTGTAGTGAAGTTGGATATACCCTCCACAGCCGCTGCCACACTTGCAGCCAGAGGCGCAGCCACAGTTTCCTCCGCAGCAAGACATTCCTCCTCCCTTAAGATGAGAAAAAGAAAGAGAAAAAGAGAAAGCTATGGAAAATGGCTTCAATGGAAATTGAATTCACCCAAACACACAAAGCTCTTGGATGATTTTAATGGGCAGAGAGTCCTTGACTTTATAGAGCAGGTGAAGGAAAAAGTGGTGTTGATCCACCCGTACACGTGTAAGAATCAGAGCAGAGTAACGTCTTCATTGTTATGTTGCCCATGTAATGCATGACTTTTCCAAACAAGACTTTTTAACACAGACTAGCGAAAAAAACCTAAAAACCTAACCCCATCCAAAACAAGGTTTAAATGAAAAAATCGTTATATGACATGAACAAATCTTAAATATGCCTTGACTCATCAAGAAGATCATTTAAAGACTCAACTCTTATTATAACATTTTTTTTTTCGGGTTTTGAAACATACAATCTAAAAATTAATTAAAAAAATTATGATTTAAATTGACAAAATTAAAACTCTAAATTTTTTTTGGTTGTAATTTTCTCAAGTTTTTTGAACTTTTCATTGTTTTCTGTTTTTGAAAATCCCAATATATATATATATATAATAACAATAAAATTGTAGTGAAGTTGGATATACCCTCCACAGCCGCTGCCACACTTGCAGCCAGAGGCGCAGCCACAGTTTCCTCCGCAGCAAGACATTCCTCCTCCCTTAAGATGAGAAAAAGAAAGAGAAAAAGAGAAAGCTATGGAAAATGGCTTCAATGGAAATTGAATTCACCCAAACACACAAAGCTCTTGGATGATTTTAATGGGCAGAGAGTCCTTGACTTTATAGAGCAGGTGAAGGAAAAAGTGGTGTTGATCCACCCGTACACGTGTAAGAATCAGAGCAGAGTAACGTCTTCTTTGTTATGTTGCCCATGTAATGCATGACTTTTCATCCCATGAGTGATTATAAAATCAAAAATGCTTGGATCCTTTTTTTTGGGATTCTATGGTCCCCAATTTGATTGGGGCCCTTAACGTGGAGCAATTCCCTCCTTGACTACTCTACTTAACTTCCTATTTGATAAGTCATTGGGTCAATTTTTGAGTTTAATTTTGATAATTTAAATTGTTCATGTTTTAAAATTTGTCATGTATATCATATTTGTAAAAAATTAAGTCGATCGAATATTAAAAATCACATGAACTAAAAATTTTATTAAACAATAAACTATTTATTAAATTTTTTTAATAAACAATTTTTAGTTCTTTCGATATTTGATCAATTTGATTTTTTGCAGATATGATGTACATGACAAATTTTAAAATATGAATAGTTTTGATCATCGAAATTGGGCCCAAAAGTAGACCCAATAGCCCATCGAGTAGGAAGTCAAGAAGGAAAGTCAAGAAGGGGATCCTTGCTCATTAATGTGTGTGGAGTCCACTCATAGTGTGGACCCCACACTATGAGTGGTTGGAATGAGAGTAGGAATTGTAGGGGTTATACATGTATGGGGATTTCTATCACAATTGTTATAAAATTAAGAATAAGTTATAAATAAATTTATTTAAAATATATATTATTTTGTGCAGTTTTAAAAAATAACATCTCGTGTGCCTGAAGTTTATAATTTTATAATAAATTATTTGTTTATTAAATTAATTAATAATTTTTAATAATATTAAAAATTTATTTCAATTACTAATTTAAGTAATTTTATTATTATATAAAAGAATAATTAAAAATTTTATTTTTTCAATTAATTTTATTAAATAAATTTTTTTAACAAGGGGGTGTTTGTAATTTTCCAAACTACAGGGGGCTAGATTAAAAATAAATAAAAATAAAAATAAAATTTTATTTTATTATAAAAGTTAAATTATTTATTATTTATTATTTCTCCAATATACTATTTGTACAACAATACATCTTTCTATATTCGTGAGTCGCATAAACAAAAATACAAAAAAAATCAATTTATTTATTATTGTTTTTTAGTGTACTGTACACGTAAATAATAGAAGTAACATGTCTAAAGTCCTACACCTAAACGTCACAGAAGTAACTTGTCTATAGTGCACTAAAAAAGATAGATTAGATTAGACCATCCAATCCACCACGGTCATTCAGTATAAAAGTTTATCTGTTAAAATAAATTATAAATTATAACATTATATTTATCATTTTTAATATATATAATAAAATAATATGACTACAATTATTATCAATTAATATTTTTTTTTATGAATAATCTATATAAAATAACCTACAAAATAAACATGTTAAATTATTGAAGTAAGCTCATCATGAGCTCCCCCAAGCTCAATTGGACGGTCCAATCAATTAATTTGTTTATACAACTTAAAATTTTTATATAAATTATAAATACATTTTTTTGAAGTTTCATTAAAATATAAATAAATTTTTATAATTCTAGAAATTATATTTCATTCATGAGATGTCTAATTTCATAACAAATCGCCCATTTTATTAATAAATTATCAAGTCAATTAACAGTTTTTAATGATGTTATAAATATATTTCAATTAATAATTTATGTGATTTTATTATTGTATAGGAGATCAATTATGAATTTTATTTTTTTAGTTAATTATGTTAAATAAAAATTCTAACAAAGAGATATTTGTAATTTTTCAAACCAGGGACAATCTGTACTTTAAGCAAATCTCATAGGCTGTATTTGTAATTTACCCTACGATTTTTAAAGGAGGGATCTCTCCAGTTCAAAATCTAAATTGAATGACGTTGTTTCGGTCCATAAGACCCATTACGGGTTCAATTTCAATAATTCAAACCGTTTATTTTTATCGGATACCTCATCTATTTCATTCACACAGAAAATTAATTCGATTTGATAACTATAACTAGTTTAATTTACCACATTTTTCACACAAAAAAATAGACGACAATTGTGTTTTTAAACATATATCATACATTTTTTTTTATGACAAATACAATAAATTGAATAAGTTATAGTTATCGGATTTATCTAATCTACCCGAATTATCCAACAAAATAAATGACTTGAATTATCGAAATAGAACCTATAATGAGCCTCATGGGCTAAAACAACGCATTCCAATCTAGATTTTGGATGAAAAGGATCCTCCTCCTTTTTTAAATAGTAGAGATTAACCAAAAAAGAGAAAATTTCATAAAGATTGAATTGTACTTTTTTTAAAAAAGTTGAATTTAAACCTTCTTTAGAATAATCTAAATAAATATATTTTTTAATTTTTTATAAAAAGATGTGTAAAAAAATAGAAAGATAATATGACAATAAAATAAAAAATAAAAAATGTGCTTATATAGCACAACACAACATATTTTGTAGCACACAGGAAATACTAGGAATGGCAACGAGACAGGGCGGGGCCGGGGATTGCACTCCCCGCCCCCGATCTCCGAAGCTACAAAACTTCCCGTCCCCGTCCTCGTCCCCGATCCCCGACGGGGAACCCATCAACCCCCCCACCTCCGCCCCCAACGGGGATCGGGTTTCCCCGACCCCGGAAAATCCCTGTAGCTCCCTTCTCTCTCTGTTTAGCTTTCTCTCACTCTCAATAATAAATCATCAACCCAATTTTCATCATCAAATGGCAACATCATCAAACACACAAATAAAAAAAAAAAAAAATTAATAATAATATGGAGACAGATTATAGACTACACACAATGACACACACATACATGTATATACATAAATGGTGGGATCTGATCTTCTCAGATCTGAGATGTAAGATCTGCGATGGTGCGGAAGAGATGGGATCTACTCAGATCTGCCCAGATCTGTCGTGGTTGGAACCGAAGCGGAAGTATGAAGGTTCGACGGTGGCGCGGAGGAGGAGAAGGAGGCAACGGAGAAGAAGGAGACGAGGGTGTGCGTACTGCCGCGGAGGAAGAGATGATGCCGTCGCCACTAGGGAGAGGAGATCGCACTCACCGTCGCCACTGGAGAGAGGAGATCGCACTCGGATCGCCACTAGGTAGAGGAGTGAGTGAGAGAGTAGAGAGTAGAGAGAAGAGTGAGTGCGAGAATGGACAGATCGGAGGAAGAGATGATGTCGTCGCCACTCGGGAGAGGAGATCGCACTCACCGTCGCCACTGGAGAGAGGAGATCGCACTCGGATCGCCACTAGGTAGAGGAGTGAGTGAGAGAGTAGAGAGTAGAGAGTAAAGAAAAGAGTGAGTGCGAGAATGGACAGATCGGAGGACATAGGGATAGCAGAGGGGATGTATATGTGAATGAATAAAGGGGGTACGAGGGTAATTTCATTTCGGGGGAGAACCGGGAGCGGGGCCGGGGGATCGGGTTCGGGGCTGTGATAGCTATCCCCGTTCCCGCCCCGAAATTGATCGAGAATTCAATTTTAAATACCGTCCCCGGCCCGTCGGGAGTATTTTTCGAGAAAAAACCGCTTGTATCGGGGACAGGGGTCGGGTCCCTGTCGGGCCGGGTTCAAATTGCCATCCGTAGGAAATACACCCTATTTATCCACCCTTGAACAAATAAAAACTATGGTAGGCATTTAACTATTTTAGCTTGGGTTAAAAAAATTTACTTGGAATAGATTTTTTAATTTTTTTTGACTTTTGTGAAAGAAAAAAAGAAATTATTATAATTTGAATGTGACATTTTGTCTTATTAATTTTTGACTAATTTTGTCTTTCGGTAGTTAAAATAACTTCAACCACACATGCCAAACATAACCTTCGTTTAGAAAGTGGATTGACTTTTTGATTTTTTGGTTATTTTAGCCTGAACTAAAAAATTTAATTGGGTGAACTTTTTGATTTTTTTGACTTTTGTGAGAGAAAAAATAAAATAATTATGACTTAAATGTAATATTTTATCTTATTAATTTTTTAATCTATTTTATTTTTTTATGACTAAAATAACCTCCAACTCACGGGCCAAACGTAGCCATAGCCTTAAGAATGTCAATTTGTCCTTGTCTCACTCCCACTCTTACATTTTCAAGAATTTTCTCCCCTGTATCATGGGGTGTTTGGAAAGTCAAATATTAACTTCTTTTTTTTTTTGTTAAAATTTATAAAAAGATAAAATATACTAAAATAGTCAATAAGATAAAATATCATATCAAATTTATAATCATTTTATTTTTTTTCTCACAAATATCACATCCAATTATAAAAAAATCCAACCCTCTTTCTAACCACAAATATTTTAACCTACTAATTAAAAATTAAAATAACCTATTAAAATAGTCAACTTTTCA